TAGTAGTGGTGGTGGTGGTGGTGGTGGTGGTGGTTAGTAGTGTAGTAGTAGTAGTGGTGGTGGTGGTGGTGGTGTGGTGGTGGTGGTGGTGGTGGTGTTGGTGGTGTGGTCGGTGGTGGTGGTGGTGATTAGTAGTGGTAGTAGTAGTAGTCGTAGTTCGTCGTTAGTGTTAGTGTAGTAAGTAGTAGTAGTAGTAGTAGTATTAGTAGTAGCAGTAATCGCCGCAGTGGCAGTTGTAGCAGTAGTCATAGTAGTAGTCGTAGTAGTATGGTAGTCGTGGTACTAGTAGTCGTAGCAGTAGTAGTGGTAGTAGTAGTAGTGGTAGTAGTAGTAGTAGTGGTGGTAGTGGTAGTAGTGTGGTGGTAGCGTCGTACTAGTAGTCGTAGTAGTGGTAGTAGTAGTAGTAGTAGTAGTAGTAGTAGTAGAAATAGTAGTAGTAGTAGTAGTAGTAGTAGTCGTAGTCGTAGTGGTAGTAGTAAAAGTAGTAGTAGCAGCAGTAGTAGTAGTAGTAGTAGTCGTCGTCGTCGTCGTGGTAGTACGTGTAGTAGTAGTAGTGGCAGTAATAGTAGTATTAGTATTAGTATTAGTAGTAGTAGTAGTAGTAGTAGTAGTAGTCGTCGTAGTAGTCGTAGTAGTCGTAGTAGTCGTAGTCGTAGTAGTCGTAGTAGTATTAGTAGTAGAAGTAGTAGTAGTAGTAGTAGTAGTAGTAATAGTAGTAGTAGTAGTAGTAGTAGTAGTAGTAGTAGTAGTCGTTGTAGTAGTCGTAGTCGTAGGAGAAGTACAAGTAGTAGTAGTCGGAATGGTATTATTCCCAACCCTCCTGCGTTGGGTACTCGTTTTGAATAGAGCACTGCGGTCTCCACCTTCCTTCCTTCCTTCCTTCCTTCCCGCCTCCTCCTCCTCTCTTCCCTCTTCCTCTCCTCTCTTGCTTCCCTTCTCCGCCTCTCTTCGCTCCTCCTCTTCTCGCTTGCCTTTTACCTACCTAGCTTGCCGCTCGCCATCCCTGGGGGGTGGCGATCTGTGAAACTGTCGCCACTTTCGAGGCCTGCTGGGGGGCCCAGCGGAGTGACGCCCTACGGGGATTCAGATTAGACCTCGCCATCCCTGGGGGGCTGCGATCTGTGAAACTGTCGCCACTTTCGAGGCTGCTGGGGGGCCCAGCGGAGTGACGCCCTACGGGGATTCAGATTAGACCTCGCCATCCCTGGGGGGCTGCGATCTGTGAAACTGTCGCCACTTTCGAGGGCTGCTGGGGGGCCCAGCGGAGCGACGCCCTACGGGGACTCAGATTAGACCTCGCCATCCCTGGGGGGCTGCGATCTGTGAAACTGTCGCCACTTTCGAGGGCTGCTGGGGGGCCCAGCGGAGTGACGCCCTACGGGGATTCAGATTAGACCTCGCCATTCCTGGGGGGCTGCGATCTGTGAAACTGTCGCCACTTTCGAGGGCTGCTGGGGGGCCCAGCGGAGTGACGCCCTACGGGGATTCAGATTAGACCTCGCCATCCCTGGGGGGCTGCGATCTGTGAAACTGTCGCCACTTTCGAAGGCTGCGTGGGGGGCCCAGCGGAGTGACGCCCTACGGGGATGCAGATTAGACCTCGCCATCCCTGGGGGGCTGCGATTTGTGAAACCGTCGCCATTTTCGAATGCTGCTTGGGGGGCCAGCGGAGTGACGTCCTACGGGGACTCAGATTAGACCTCGCCATCCCTGGGGGGCTGCGATCTGTGAAACTGTCGCCACTTTCCAGGGCTGCTGTGGGGCCCACGAAACTGTCGCCACTTTCGAAACCTGCTGCGGGGTCCAGCATAGTGACGTCCTATGCGGACGCAGATTGGACCCGTCATTCTACTTCGATTATCCCGCATATGCGATCGACTGTATGTGTGCGAGGAACTAGACATGGAGTGGTCTGGCACTGACTGACGTCAAATCGTTGTGTGCCAGTGTCTCCTGGGGTGTTGCCTGATGTGGATGCAGCTCGTCGGCGCTGCGACTCGAGCTGGCGGTCGTCCTTCGGACCCGCAGAAACATCTGCTGAGCTCGATGAGCTAGGGGAACTACAGGAAAGAAGTGCAGGAAACGGAGGCCTGTCATGCACTCGCCGATACCTCGTTGCTCTGTCATCGTCTTTGCTGTTGCATGATCCTTATCTGGCCTGCCGGCGCCGCGGCTCGAGCTGGCGGTCGCCCTTCGGGCCCGCGGGAACATCTTCTGAGACAAGTGGACGCCGCCGCCTTACTTGCAGGCAGCGCATTGCATTCGCGGACAGCAGCATGGCAGACCGCAGTGAGGTCCTCAGTCGCGTGGTGTTGCCAAGCCTGGTGGAGACGCGCGTGATCGACCTGAAGTCCCAGTCGCGCGTGCACTGTACCTGCGTGGCGTTCAGGCACGCGCGTGATGCTGCTCGCTCCGCGTTCAACCAGTACGTCGCCGGTGCAACTTTGGACGATGGACAACCGATTGATGATGCGCGACCCCGGCCTTTGAGTTTCTTTCC